ATTTTTATTTAATATTTAATAATTTTATTATTATTAATGTTAATAAATAATAATTAATATTACTGAGGATTATAATTGGAAAAAGTTACAATAAACTTCCAAAATGCTACAAGTAACATTTCAATAAGTTAGCTTATGATCATCCAAACATGTACACATAAAATAAGTTAGCTTATATTTGTCAAATAACGCCTAAATCCTGTATAAATAAAAAAGTCTGTATACATTAAAAAGGTTTTTGCTTGAGGAAGTTTTTTCATAAATGAAATAAGCATATTTGTTAATTGGGAGAGACATATTTTGGAGAGAAAAAAAAAATTGGCTTTCTGTATAAAGTTTCTCATGTAAAGTTATTGAATAAACCATTTTCTATATCCTTAAGTCACTACCAAACAATCATGTATGGTTGAGTGAATAAGTTATAAGTTTCATTAAGCTGCTAACAAACATACCCTAGGATTAACAGTGGTCATATTTATATAAACGTTAGTTGGATTGACGACCCCTCTAGGATTATGTCAAAGATACTATGATGACATACTAAGTACTTAAAAAGCAAGAACATTCATCGAAGCTAGAGAAGTGAAAGTATATTGTTATTAACATTATGTTGAAAATACTGATATCACAAGCTCTCATGAGTTGCATGGTTGTATCATATAAAATGCCACGATCGTGCAACCAAGACAAAATGTTTATTAAAATTTCATATGACCGTATTACAACTTTTATCTGTTTAAGCAAAAAAGATTAATACAAAGTTGTACTCCTCTCTCTCTCTCTCTAGAAAGCTTTGAAGTACTTAGTTCTTCATATTCGACTTCTAAATCAATAATCATTTAAAGAAATGAAATTATATACATCAACCTGAGCTCAAATATTTGTATGTTGTATGATTAGGGAGCCGTTTACCAAATGCTTACTCGGTAAGTGAACATCAAGTCACATTATTATATCGGATGAATATGGTATGAACCAAAAATCTTACCCGGTAAGAACGAGACAAGTACCAAGAGTCTTATCCAGTAAGTAAGAACGACGACTCTTACCATGGTAAGCGCTTACCGGGTAAATTGTTGCATATGATGTCATTTTGGTGAACTAAAATCTTACCCGGTAAATAAATAATAGTGTTAGATTTTACCGGCAAGCACTTACCGAGTAAGTGTTTGGTAAACGGCCCCTAAGACTTTTCTTGTTCCATAACGAAAGATGCGGATGTTCCCCCATTTTATAGAAGGTTTTTGAGTAGAGGTTGAACCTATTTTTTAGGTCCCTTTTTGTCTTGTATGATTAGAGGATCTGAAGGAATTTGAAATCGAATTTTATTTCAATCTTATGGTTGGTTTGAAAGACTTCTTATATTAAAATCATGGGATTTCATTGAAATCTGACGGAAGTGGTTGGTAGTTCATAAGATTTCATATGTATCAGTGTTTTAAATTATGTTAAAAACATTTGTTTTGTAATAATCAATTAATAAAAAAATAATTTAATTATTTTTATAATTATTACAGTTTGTTTTTATAAATTATTTATAAAAAAATCAAATATTTCCAAATCCAAAATCCCTCCAATTTAAAATCATCCTATGACATCCAAGTATCTAAAAATCATTTCATCGAACCAAACTGTTAATCAATAATCACTTATCTTTAACAAAATACTAAGGTCTCAAATCAACAACTAATGCATAAACCCCACAAAAATGCGGAAACAAATAGACCTCAAGATTGTGTTTAACAATATATGAACACCGAGACAATAACCTACAACAATGATGCAATAACAATTCACAAACGATAATAGAAAAACACGAAGATTTAATGTGGTTCCACTATCGTGAGATAATGTACATCCATAGGGGAAGACGATGGTTAGTATATTCAACACCGAAAGGAGAATACAAGAAGTTCTTACCGATTACGTGAAATTTGCTTTCAAAGTTTGCTAAGATGCATTAAACACTGTGGCGGCTTCCATGACTATTAGTTATCCTCCATTAAAATGTGACTATTAGTTTATTCCATTAAATTGGACGGTTCCCAATCATGTGCGTGTGTGCACGTGCATACACACACATACATATGTATATATATGGCACGATGGCTTCTTGGCTTACACTTAAAAAATTAGGATATTAGCGACGGTTTTTAACGATGGACCTAATCTCTCGTTAATTAACGGAGATAGACCACAAACCATTTCATGTGTATGTGTGTGGTTATATATAAATAGAAAAAAAAAGTGGAAAGGTAAATTACAATTTTGGTCTTTTAGATAAGACAAAAAAAGTTAAAAAGACACAAATAACTTAACGGACTAGTTTAACAGAGTTAGTGACCAAAGACTATTTTCAAAGAAAAAGATAAACAATGAAGACCATAATTATAGTCATTTAAGTCTACATACCACTTTCGAGAATTGGAGTAAATCATAAGGACCAAAATTGTAGTTTACTGTAGATAAAAGAGTAAATTATGTTTTTAGTCCCTCTCGTTTGTTGAAAGTTTCTATTTTTTTTCCATGTAATTTTGAATTATAAACCATAGAAACAAAAACTATAATTTAAAACTATAAATACGAAATCTGCAATTCTTAACAAACCGAAATCTGCAAATTTTAACAAACTGGCAAAAAAACGTAATTTACTCTAAATAAAAAAACAAAAACACTTTACATTTGAGTATTTGACCCATGGTCTCACACAATTCGGTTAGGCACGTGGAAATCAAAGCACAACCATCAGCCAACCCGCGTCCGACCACATGGGTTATGGGTTTGGCGGGAACTTTCACCGCCCCTATCACTTTAGGGCTCCAAAATATAAAAGAAGTAGCATTTTAAGAATTTTCAATCTGTTTGTATAATCTCGGATTCTCTCCTGTTCTGATACTTCCGATTCGCCTTCTTGTAAGTCGATTCAACGCACAGCACCAGGTTAGTACTTGTCTCGTCTACTTATGTCTGTTGTTAGGCTCTAAAATTCTTGAATCGTGGAACTGTTTGTGCTTAGGTCTTGTTGATTATCTTTGTCTGGTGATTAACTTGGAAATCTGTGGGTGTATGTTGATACTAGTAGTGAAAACACATCGGTTTTGGTATATAAGCCTCTTATCTTGGATATAGAAAGAAGATTCACTTTTTTGGAACACCTTTATCTCGTATACATCACATTTCCAGTGTGGTTTAGGAATTGGGTTATTGTTTGACTAGTTGTGGTTGTGTCATTTTTATTGATCTTTTAAGGGTATATGACACCATGGCTCATTTATATGAACGCATACCGTCTGTTCGACAAAAGTGTTCAGTGAGCTTTTGCTTCCCCCTTTCAGATCCATACCTAACCCTCTGGTTTATTAGTGGTTGTAAGTTTATTGTTTGCAAATTGAGTGATTAATGAAGTGTGTGAATGGGTTTATTTTCTAGCTTTTGATTTTTGTAGGAAAAGAAAACACTGGTGTTCCTATGAGGATATTTAAAATGTTCTGCTTTTCTAATGTGTCTGTAGGAAATGGATACATCAAACCCAGCTGTTCTTGTGAATGCTGACCTGCTTCGCAGTTACGTGGGCAGAAGAGTACGGACAGTGATTCAGGTAATTCGGCCTGATGCTGGTGGTCTCATTGGGAGATCGACAGATGAAAAGCAAATTGTTGTAAAGGGTCATCCGCCGTCTCCTCTTACTACTTTCATTGAAGTAATTGGTGTTGCTGATACTACACAATCCATCTGTGCAGAGATAATGACCAACTTTGGCGATACATTTGGTATGACTTTTACCCAAAGATAATAAACAAAATTCTTGGAATGTTACACATACAGCATGACTAGTAACTATGTGCTCCTTTCTCATTTAACTGATTTTTGCTTGTTGATTGATATTATTGGGTGCTAAAATGTGATCCAAAAATACTACCTACGACCTATGGACTATAAACAAAAACATATGTTATTTCAAGTAGCAATAATCACATGAAAACCCCCATGATCTTTGGCTTCATAATTTTGGGTTGAAGGGATTAAAACAAAGTTATTATCTCATCTGAGAATTTTCTTTAGCTTTGGGTATCTTGGTTTTGTCATTTCGACCACAATTGGGTTTTTGAAACAAAAATCATTAAAATTGATCCATCTGAGAGAACACAATTATCTGGCCTTAATATTAAGTTCTGCCAACATAGATTGTTCTTGTATAATAGCTTCCTGCTCTTGATTTTGCCTGAGAGAACACAATTATCTGGCCTTAATATTAAGTTCTGCCAACATAGATTGTTCTTGTATAATAGCTTCCTGCTCTTGATTTTGCCTGAGAGAACACAATTATCTGGCCTTAATATTAAGTTCTGCCAACATAGATTGTTCTTGTATAAACTGAACCAATGATCATTTGAACACAGCCTCTTTTAGAAAGAACACTATAGCCAATGGAATGAACCCTCAAGGCCTCAACTTCTAAACCTGAAAGAGGGGCTAGATAACATGAAGATAAAGCATGTTGTGATGCTACTATCATAGTTTTTGCCTCTATTATAGTCATGTTGTTGAGAAAATGTTGGATGCTACTTTAGCTTTGAGTAACTCAGGAGAAGCAAATAGAAAGCTTGATGATAATTTTCATAAACTCCAATCTCATCATTGATTATCTGCATATGGTTTAATGAAAGCATATGTTTGCTACCTCATGCCTAAAACACTCTTCAACAATGACAACTTGTAACCAAAAGAAACAACATCAATAATCTACATTGTGTATAAACTTTGTTGCTGTTGATAGCAAAAGAATGATTTGTTTGTCCATGGCATAGTTAATTATACCTTAGTTGATTGTGTTCTTATATCTTCTGCGGTTATTTTGTTGTAATTTGTTTGTATTTGTATTTGTATTTCAGATACAAATAACTTCAACCAACTTTGCCAACTTGCTAATGGGGACTTTAGGCACTTGTTTATCTAAGGAGTCTCTCTGCTATGAATGATCCCAGATGCCTCTGCTTTGATCGAGATCGAACCTTGGCTATTCCTGTAACCTTTGTGGATCTTTTTCCATTTTGTTGGCATTTCGTATCAATTGCGTGGCTGTGCTAATGCAAAAAGTTTGGACCTTGTCTTGCAATCATGCACTCTGAATGAATATACAAGTTGCTTTTTGGTTAAGACTAGAGTAGAAAAGACTGGTTAACTAATTTTGGACCGATAAGGACCGAGGATTGGTGCTCAGCCCAAGTACACGATTACAAGTGAAAGCTCATTTTTCATCCTAAATTTTGAACTTGGGACCAGTCCTTAACAGGTTAAAAGAAACATATATAAAGCTTGAAAACTGATCCTTGGTATATGTTTTTTTATTTTATTTTTTGTTGCTAAAAAACACCGATCTTTCTAAAAACGGTTAATGACCGGTCCTTGCGCATCTACGTCGTACTTGAAAACCAAATTGCAATGCTATATTGAGATCGAGACTGAAATAAAAAAAAGAGAAGAGATAATTTATGTGATCCTTTTCCCAAATAATAATCAACTACTATAAATTATTATTATTAATTTATATATAACTTTGTAACTCAACTACAACTACAACTGCTCAACATTGTATTCATTTTGAAAGCTGCATTCCTGTTTCCATTCCATTTCATCTACTCTGCTTCTGCTTTGGTTTTACCTAATATACATCGATGCTCAGCTCACTTCCACAGGATTCAGCTTTACACAATGCCAAATGAGAACAATGTCGTAACCACCACACTGCAAACAACAAACAAGGTTTTAGCAACATAACTAACACCAATACATTAAGTTCAACACATAACAACGTTTCCAGGTTTTCCAGAGAAACAGTTATATATCACGACATTAACTCCAGCGCAATCTCAACTTCCGGTAACGATTTTGGCAGAAATTGTTTCTTTTTAAAACTTGGGAGAATCATATATTAAAATCGAGATAACTCTCCATTAAATGGAAATGATTGCTGGAGTGATTATTGGGCAGTTTAACTATATTGTAGTAAGAAGGCTTCAGCTCCAAGGAGTCAGAAGCCTCTAAGTCAAAACCGCTTTAGAATCACAAGTTCCTGAACAAAGAATCAGAGGCTTCGGAGTGGAACTCAAAAGCTTATGAAGGGAATTTTTAGGCTTCTAAATTTCACTTAGACATTCGGAAAAGCATGTCTCAAGCTTTTGGCCACAGCCAGGGGGAGCACCCCCTTGATCCCGCCATATGGCACCATCCGGCGATCTTGGGTTCTAGTTATCTTATACTAGTGTGTATTATAACTTAACTAACAACCCCATATTTTCTTGTGAATCCAGATACATAAATGAACCTATGGTTTTCACTAAAATTACCAACAAACAATGCCAATGCTCTTTTTCTCTTACTAACAACTAGTGGTTTCTACATAAACTGAAGTGAAACCAATAAGAATGACCATGCAATCAAGTTTGTAGTATCTAACAATGCTAAACAGATTAAAATTCCATGACTAATTATGAGTAGACAATTACCTGTTTCAACTATTCCCAGCTGAAGGTTGAATGGTCTTCAGGTGGTTCGACCCAAATGCTTTCAAACGGATCTTGTTCTCCCCAATCATGGCACTGTTTCCGAGGGTAGTATCTTCGGTGATCAAGAGAGTACGATATGCACCGTTTCCCATAAAAACGAACTTTAGAGAAATACACACTATTCCTCATCATTCCAAGAAGGTCGGTTCTTGCATGGGACGACAAAAAACTAGCAAATAAGGTCACACCTTCAAGAGTTTTCATTTCTACCCACTCTTTATTTGCCTGATCTAGCTTATAAATAATCGGATTTTCACTATAACACGTATATATAACAAAGACATCGCCTTTATGCTCCGCCATAAATTTCCCCTTCCACCAATTTTTCACAAAGAAATTATCAGGACACCGGGGTGGAGGCACAATACGGATACTCCATGTGTGCTCCTGTGGATCATAAACTCCCAGCCATCCAGTTAAACTCAAACAATAGAATAGCCCGTTGCAGAAAACAAGCTTATTCCAAATACTGCTAACAAACGGCAAGCGGTTGTGGTAATTGACTGTAGTCCACTCTGCTGCCCCCGGATGGCAAGTGCTGATAGCAACAACAGTTGGACTAACATGCTTAACTGTAAAAAGAATACAGTTCGGAGACTTGGGAGAAGTCGAAAACGCAACTATTTGATACGTCATTTCGAATCTTGGCAACTTAATCATTTCCCGTGTGAAGGGATTAAAGAATAGAACACGTTGTGTTCTTGGCTTGTATAGCAACAACCAACCATCTTTATTGTAACATATCCTACATCCATGTAACTCCGGTAATTCAACAGAATACGTTTTTCGCTGTGATGGATCGTAGAATTCAAAAAGGTGGCCGAGTTTTGGGAAGTACATAAGCCACGGTGGCTTGTTTACCTTTCTGACCGAAAGAGCAACCGAGAGCCATCTTTTGCAAACAGCAGAAGTGCGAATGTTATCCTTTAACGTTAACCGGGAAATTATCAATTCCAAAAGCTCTACTGGAAGCACAGACCATGCCTCCTGCTCGCTATTTTCTTTGATCGATACTCTTTTATCATCTTTAAACGTTTCCGACAACCTACAAACACAAAATCATATAAATCAGACACGAACATTGGTGCAATACACCAAAGGGCCTTTGGCTTAGCGGTATCGTAGCCTTTGGCCTTCTAGGAGGTCAGGTCCTGACCTCACCATAGGTGAGGAGGGTGTCTGAGTTTATTTGTTGCATTTGCCATATATAAATATTACATACTTCAAAAAAAACATTGGTGCAATACTTCTATCTGCAATATCCCATAATCCCCCCGAGTTCAGGCTATGACAACATAGCATCAAATGAACCCCTCTCATTCACACTCTCATTCTCACCCACATCAACATCAACAATCTACAAACTCAGATCAAACCATAAAAAACAAAACTTCTTAGCAGAAACCCTAAAACCTAAAGTACCAAAACTTTATAAAATGTCAACAATCCAAAGAAATCCACCGTTTATCAAATCCGTATACAATCCAATCAAGAAATTGAAGAGAACAAATCCAAGTTCGATGAAGCGTTCTACTGAATTACATGAAACTATGAATTACCCGCAAAACCCACACACACAAGCGTCGAATTTATCAAATCGAAGTTAATTTGGCACAGATTCACTTAAATTTAACAGAACTGTAGCTGAATTGTGAAATTGAACACGGATCTCATATCTATAAACCCTAGAAACCAAATTCCTCAAAAAACCCAACTATAAAATTGAAGAAACCCAATTGGAATTCAGTTGAAATCGTTGCAGAGAACTTACAATCTGAGTTTCCTTCTCTTCCTTCCTGCCATAACTACACCAGAGAGATAAAAAGCTTCACACTGTGCGTGTGTGTGTGGGTGGGTGTTTTGTAGAGAGAGAAGAAGATATGTTGAAGAGATGGTGGGAATGACTGTTGTCAAAATGTAGAAGCAGCTAGCCTTGTTACCGTAACACGTGTATACAAGGAAGTAATCTGGTGTGACGAGACGCAGGGATACGTGGTAGCAATAACTAATGGGATCGTTAGGTGAAGATTAGTGGTTGACGTGGCGTGCTATGATTGAGAGATGGGTGAGGGTGTTGGGAATACATTCGGTGGTACCTCGTGTTGGTGTCGGAAACTACCGTCACATGTGGAAATCACATTTTAGGTGCTGTCTATCTCCGTGTACTGCCCTGGGTAAATGTGTAAATCACCCATGCGTGACGTGGCAATCATGCATTGCCTTACAACTCAACATTCTTTATTTTTTTGTAATTCTTTATTTTTTTTTAAATAATTATAATTAAATTTACCATTTTTTAATGCTTAATTAGATACCTTTAATTTTTAAATGTTATATTTTAATTAAAGGAGACACGATTTTATTTTCAATTATTCTTTTTTAATTATAAGATCTATTGATCATATATTTCAAATCTTCAAAATTAAACCACAAGTGTGGTGTCTGATTATTTTGAGCTTGACTATAAAGGTCAAAAGTACCAGTAGGTCTCAAGTTCAAATCTAAGAAGGAATAAAAATCCCCTTGTGGCCACGGAGGTTCAAATACGGCGACTCCGGACTATCTGCAAAGCAGGTGGTCGCTCTGAGATTAATCGGCTCGCATAGCGGGTTGGATATCTAGGTTAATCTAAAAAAGAAAAAAACCTTTAAAATTAAAGTTTAATTTTATAATTTAGCGGATATCGTTACTAGCTGAACCTTAAAACCTTAAATTTGGTTTCTCATATTCATTGATTCCATTTTAATCAAGTCACATTACTTTACCGAATGAATATGATAAAGACCAAGAATCTTATTTGGTAAGAGCGAAACAAGGACCAAGAGTCTTACCTGGTAAGTGACGTCAACAACTCTTACCATAATAAAAGTTTACCGGGTAAATTGTTGCATACGTTACTATTATGATGGATTAAAATTTTAACCCACAAGTAAATGATAATATTAAATTTTACCAATAAACGCTTACTAGGTAAGTAACCGCGTTTTAAAAAAAAAAATACTATCAAATAAAACCTATTAATATCGACAATGGTATTATAAGAGATAATATTAATTTATTTTAATACATCTTTTTTGTAGTCAAGATTCAAGAGGCCAAGGAAAAATTGGAATATTTTCATTTGTCAAATGTGTTTTCTCGAAAACCTTAAATTAAACAATTAAGATTTTCTTATCATAATCTAGAAGGCATATATTTTCTGAAAACATCGAATAAATCATGAAAAATGTATCAATATATAAATGATGAAAAATATTAATTGAAATTTTAATTTAAAACTAGTTGTGTACCCGTGCAATGCGGCGGGAACCATGAATTTTAACGATTTTGAAGTTCCACTGGTTTTATAAGATAAGATTTAACGATGATATAGGTTACACTTGGTCTTTACATATTAATACAATTTGAATAAATAAGAGTTATGGTTCCAATTACAGACTATCGATGAAAAAATTGTATAACAGTTTAAAATTCAATATATTTAAAATCCAACATATTTAAACGACTCCACAAATGTATTCGATTTACACGAAGAGCAAATAACCAAGAAACTTGAGTTTTAAGATAAACACTCAAAACCAATAAAGAAAACTACAAATTTGACAGATCATAAGCCATGAAAATACAAAAAAAGATGGGTTTTAGAATGAAATTTCAACCGCTTACCCTCTTTCTTGTCCAAAAATTCAGATTAAGGTTGAATTAATACATGTATATATATATTTCAAAAAAACCCAAAAACATATTAATTCAAAACATATTATACAGTACAATTTGGACAGCTTAACCCCAAAATATATAGTATATATATATATATATATATAAATAAATAACTATAAAAGTATAAATCGTAAATATTAAAAATATTTTTTCACAGTATATATAATATATAATAATATAATTAAGTTAAAAATTATTCAATATTGAACTCATTTCGAATGTATTAACGAGACGATTATAATGGTGTAACTTGTTAAAATAAAAATACATTTTTAAACATGTTTTAATTGATATACGATTATGTATGTTAATTTGATAAATGTTTAAAATGAAACATTTAAAAATAAAGGGCATAAAGTAGATTAATTAATTAATTATAGGAGTATAAAGTGTAAATTTAAAATTATAATTTTAAAAAATGAAAAAATGAGTATAAAGGGTATTTTGGTCATTTAGAATTTTAAGACTTTTGCTAAATTTGTTTAATAAAATAATATAGATAGGTGTATGTGTAATTGTTTATGGATTGTGGAATCTTATGAACCCTACAAGGCCCTCATATAAGCCCATTTTCTTGCCTTATCATTTGGAGCCCAATTGGCCCACCTTAGTTGGACTTTAATAAAGTATCTCTCGCTTGGAAGTTGGAAAGCATGAACCGGTCTGGTTTGGAGGTCCAACATAAGTTCCCGGATCTTCAAAAGCGTCGCGGGGGACGTGACGTCCAATTATAACTAATAAAAGATGGTTTATTAAGTAATTATTATGGTAAGCGTTTATCGATTTGATTACCATATCGGATGAATATAACAAGAACCGATAATCTTACCCGATAAGACAAAAAGCAGGGATCGATAGCGTTATCCAGTAAATGATAATAGTGGCTCTTGCCATAAGAGCTTAACTAGTAAGCATTTGATAAACAGTCCTTAAATGCTATATAAGTCTTAAAAAAATAAAATGAATGAGCAATTGAGAAATAGACCAGTTTTCTAAGTTAATAGCAAAACCCAAAAGGATAAGGTAGACAAAGTTTGGTTGTGGCCCATTGCATGACATTTAATTCTCAACCCTAAAGCTAACGGTAAACCTAAAACCCAACACTAATTGCACATAATTAACTACTTTTTTTTTACCAGCAAACAAAGACGAAATATCATAAAAACTAGCAAGGTGTTAGCAAAAGAGAGTACAGGTTAAAAACAAGACATGGGAGAAATACACCACTCTATCCAACTATTCGCCATAACATCTTTCGGCACCCTGTTTTAAAACCAGAAAAAAGAATACGCCTGCAGCTGGCCTGCAAGAAAAGTAGCCGACTTCTGAGAAGGGGCTGAGAAGGTTTTGCGGTTACGCAGGTTCCAAATAATCCAGAAGAATCCATACACCACTCCGATAAACGCCTTTTTACACAAGGAATTCCCAGTCACCTCCGACTCCGAGCAACGGTCAAGAAGATTACCTATCGAATTCACCTGTCCTATGTCCACTTTCCATCATTTGCACAAATCCTTGAGCAATTGCCGAGATATCGAGCATCCTATGAACAAATATTCCTCATCTTCTTCCGCGCATTCGCACAGAGGGCACAAGGAGGAGAGGCAAACCACACCTCTTTTAGTAAGATTATTTTTAGTCGAAAGGCTTTTGTGAAGAAGACGCCAAACTAATTAACTACTTGAAGGACATTCGTGCAATGTAACGAGATATATCTCGATTTTAATGTTTTGTTTTAATTTTTTGGTCTCTGTCGATGTTATAATAATGTTTTATGTGGTTTTGAGCAAACACTAATGTTTTTTTTAATAAAATACAAATTTGAAAATATCATAAAAATTAAAAAATAATAATAAGAAATTCTCATTTTCTGTGTAATTTCTTTAATTCAAAATTTTATTATAATTTAATTATGATTTAAAAATGAAATAATTTATTTTTGATTTATAATATAATTTTTATAGAGATAATAATTAAGTATTCTGTTAATAATTTTATTCAAATTATATTTTAGATTTTATATTTAAAATAAAAAATTTATCCTGTATTTAGTTATATTTATCTACAGTTAGTTACATGAATTCAAACATGAAACTTAATAATACACACAATTTACTTGTAATCTTGAATTTTTAGTAATATGTATCAATTAACAGTACTTCATGTATAAAAATGGTTTTTAAGAGTTTTTGTCAAATACTTAATAATATAGTATTTGTAAAATCCATAGGCCACCAAGCTTTCAATGAATTTCAAAGCATCCTAAAATCAATCAGAATCAATGACTATAGTTATTCATTTCACATACTCTTATAAAATATGAAATAAAAATGTATAGAGGGTTAGTAACCGACTCAAAGAAAATATTGGTTTCCCCAATTTCATGATCATCAAAGAGACCGATATTTAGGGCACGGTAATTAGCTGCATGATAATATTGTCATCATCATACAATAAATACTCCATAACCGAGAGTCTTACCCGGGTAAGGGATGACAACAACTCGTACCATGGTTAATGCTTACTGGGTAAGTTGTTACATATGATGTCGTTTTGGTAGACTAAAATTTTACCAAGTAAGTAAACGATAAAGTTGAATTTTACCGTTAAACGTTTATCGGGTAAGTATTTAAATAAACGGTCCCATAGTCGTGTTACAACGTGTTGACCCTGACTTTGTCCACGTGCAATAGTAATTATTAGGTAGTACTAATAGTCAAGTAGACATAAAGCTTGTGGTGGTTGTTCGTGAGAATGACTCAAGTGACGTGAATTTTGGGAGGTTAACATAAGAGACGAGTCAAAAGAAAAGGATGACGATTGTTTGACCAAATGAAACCACAATAGACGTAGATAATGACACTTTTGATAAAGTTGATATTGCCCATTTAACAAGGCAAAGTATTATCAACAATTTAATATGGTTGTTTGGTGTTATGGATGCATTCATGTATACAGGCGTACAGCTCATGTGACCGTACATGGCATCAAAGCTTAAAGGGACATCAATTTTTTATATAGTATTAGTTTTGGGTTTTGGGGTTTAATAATTTGAGACTTAGGCTTTAATTATAAACAGAGGGACAATTGACCAGACTTGTTAATAACAAATCCAATGACTTGAATCGGTGACAATGGGATAGACGCATCACAGTTCACAAGAT